GAGGGGGAGAGAGAGAAGCAGGCTCCCCACCTATCGGAGCCTGACATGAGGCTCGATCCCAGGACCCCGGGATCATGACCCGAGCCAAAGGCAGACACCTAACTGACTGAGCCACCCAGGCACGGCCATCTTAGCCATTTTTAAGTGTACAGTTCAATGGTACTAAACATTTTCACATCATCGGGTAGCCAGCACCATCCCTGTAACTCTTTTGATTTTGTAAAACTGAAGTTGTAGGAGCACCTGGGTGGCTCAGTCAGTTAAACTCTTGACTCTTGATTTCGGCTCAGGTCATGATCTAAAGGTCCTGAGATCAAGCCCCGTGTCAGGCTCTGTACTCAGCAGGGAATCCGCTTGAGACTGTCTCTTTCCTCCTGCCCTTCCCCCTGCCCACGCTCCCTTGTGCACATGCACTCTCTCTCTCTTTCTCTTTCTCTCTCTCTCTCAGATAAATGAATTTATTTTTAAAAGAGAAATGCTGAAACTATACACCCATTAATGCCACATTTCCTCCATCTCCACAGTCCACTAGCCCCCGTCAACCACCATTACAATTTTCTGTCTTTACGACTTGGACTACTCTAGGTACCTCATAGAAGTGGAATCACACAGTGTTTGTCTTTTTGTGACTGGCTTCTTTCACTTAGCATGGTGTCCTGAAGGTTCATCCGTGTTGTAGCGTGTGTCAGAATTCCCTTCCTTTTACGGCTGAATAATATTCAAGACTATTTTGTTTAATGTGTAAAGAATATCTGTCTCACACCAATAGCTGATATTACATATGATAGTAAAAGATCCATCATTATGATCAGGTAGAAGTTAGAGATGCTTGCTACTTACTATTTTGTTCTGGAAATTCCAGCCAATTTAGTTCTACAAGAAAAGGAAATAAATGGTATAAAGGTTGAAAAAAGAAGATAAAGTTCTTTTTATTTGCAAATAGCATGGCTTTCTATACAGGCTCCAACATGCTTTGAAGTAAGAGTATATATTCCAGAGTTAGCTGTTTCTCCAGCTCCACCTTCTTATTTGTGACCCTGATCCCACCCTCTGGCCTACTCACTGACTTTGTTCTTGCATTTTTCCTTCTCATCAATTTTTTCCTTGTCTGGATTATCCCCAACAACATATGTTAAAGTACCTCCCATCTATAAAATATCCACCCCCTGACCTCATCTTTAAAATATCCTCTCTGACCTCATCCTGTTTTTCCAGCTACAGTCCTATGCTCTGCTCCCTTTACAGTAAAACTCTTAAGGGAAGTCCTCAATAGTCACCACCTTATCTGCCATTTTCTTTTTCCCTGTACAGCCTGTCTTCTTTTTATTGTCCTCTGCTAGGTGTTTTGTGTTGGCAAGCGGACTCGAGTTTGTCTGGTCCCCACCTACTCTAGGTGTGTGTGCTGGACAGAGCTGCACCCTAGTCCCTCCCTCTTCTACTCGCTCTGTCTTTCATCCTCGCGTCACTAACTCCTTGACCTGTCAAGGTCATGAATGACCTTAGTTGCCATATCCACTGGTCAATTCTCTGTCCTCATCATACTCAACATCTCAGCGGCATTTGACACAGGAGTCTAATCTCTCCTCCCCAAAACACTTCTGTCACCTGCCTTTTGGGACACCAGAGTCTCCCTGTTTTCCTCCTGTCACTTGTCACTCCTCAGTCTTTTGTGGGTGGCCGCTGGATCTGCCCGGGGGCGCCTTTCCCTCTGTAGCCATGCCCTCTCCTTGGGTAACCTCATACAGGCCCATGACCCCTAACAGCATCCAGGCAGTGAGGATTCCCGATTTATATCCCATGACCCCCCCTCCCCTCCCCCCCCCGGCTCCCCAGGGATTGGTCAATCCAGGTGCCTCCTTGAAATCTCCACTGGTACCTCAGACTGACCTGTCCGATCTTGATTTTTCCCTCCCAGAGTTTCTCCTCATCTTGGTCAGTGGGAACCCTTGACACACTTTTGCTCACACCCCCAAACCACAGTACATCCTTGATCTTTTTCTTTCCCTCATCGCTTCTCCACATTCAATTAGTCAACCCGCTCTAGTGACTGTCTTCGGAATATATCATGTGCTTGCTCTCTGCTGCTATAACCCAGGTCCTTGCCGCTGCTGTCACCTCCTGCCTGGGCTGTTTGCACTGGCTGCTCCAGACCCTTCCTTCCCCTGCAGCCTATTCCTTCAGGGCTGCCGGAGTGACCTTTTAAAATGACCACTCCCCTGCTAACCCGCCATAGTTTCCTGTTACACTGGGAATAAAATTCCATCAGTTTTATTGGACTGCAGGGCCTTGAAAATCTGCCAAGAGTGCCCTTCTGACCTCATTGCAGCCCCCTCCCCGACTCTGTCTGGCTGCTCCACCCCAGCCCTCTTCCTCTGCCTCCCAGCCTCTAACAGGTGCCCGGGGCCTCAGGTGGCCTCCCTCCATGCGCGCGTGACTCACTCCATCTCATATCAGGGGTCTGTGCTCATATGCCATTTCTTCAAAAATGTCTTCCCTGATCCCTCTCTAAAATATGTACCACTACCCCCTCAGCATGCCTTTGCTCTTACCTTGCTCTTTTTCTTTCATTAAAGTTTCTGAAAGTATTCTATTCTTACTTGTTGCCTGTCTCTCACACTAGAATTGAAACCCTATGAAGGCAGCGACTTCATTTGCTTTATTCTTGTATCTTTTGTGCTGAGCACATAGTAAATGCTCAGTTAATACTGTTGAATGAATTTTAGCACTTTCCAGTCACAAAACATACTGGGAAGAAACAGTGTACTTACAATAGTGAGATACGAAATGCCTAAACATCAATAAGTAGAAGATAAGAAACAAAAACAAGGCTTCATTTTTTCCTGTCAAATTAAAAAAAAAATGAGTATTGGTAAGAATACTGGGGAATGGGCTCTCTCATTTACCGCTAGTGGAAATATAAAGTTTTCCAAGCTTTCATAAGTGGTGAGTCATGGGTGATTTTTATCTCAACTTTTGTGGTTTGCTACGTTTCTCATTTTTTCCAATAATTACTTTTCTCCCTCCAGTAATTACTTTTTAAACCAGAGAAGTCCCTTCATCTTCCTCCCTGCCCCCTTTGAAACTTATTCACCTGGCTGGGTCCTTGCACTAGCAAACTTTCAGAGCTAAGCCCAGCAGCGGGATGGTCTTGTCCTGTCATTGAACCTCTTCTTCTAAAAATGTTGAATCTGCAGCCTATATCAGGTTTCTCTGGAATGATGCAATTCTGGGCAGTACAAACTATGTGCAGAGTCGCTCTTGCTCGAAGGGCTGGTTTGGGAGCCCACTACAAAGGCAGGGCCCACCCATTTGGAGGTGGGATCCCATAGCCTTTCCTGCCAAGACCCAGGTCTCCATAGACAGGGGAAGCCTAACATTTCTTGGTAGATACCCCACCCGACTCCCTCGCTGCTCAGGATTGAATTAAAAACAATAATAATCTGCTCTGTGCAGCTGGACTTCTGGTGCCTGCTTCCCTTTGACACACCCATGCCCCATTCTGCCAATGCCCAGGCAGCCGGCCCCCCTGCGTGGGCCCCAGGCCCCGGAAGGGAGGCTGCAGCTGAATCACCAGTGGGCCATTCTTCCATTTCCCCTGGTTTCTTTCTTCTCTGGAGCTGCCTTGGTAGTTGGACATTCTGTTTAATTATGTCGCTTTCTGGGCTCGGCAGTTAAGTTCCAGAGCGCCCAGTGGCCCACCTGAATGATGTTCACCCCGATGGCTGGGAGCAAATAAAGGGAGCCAGCCCCTACTCAGCTTCCTGTCCCATGCTGTTGCATTCATGCTTCCTCAGCCCTGTCCCTCCTAGACCCTGCTCCTCTGACAGTTGGCACAGCCAGCCTCAAGAGCTTGCCAGTAGACTGTGGGTTGTTTTAAGTGGCACTGAGAACTGAGGCTTGGGGCTGGCTCAGGATGTTGCTTCCCTCGTGTGTGTGGGTGAGTGGCACACATGGCCATTGCCAGTATTCCAAGTGCAAGAACCCGGTGGAGTGGGGAGAGGGCCAGACTCTAGCTACTTGGTCTTCTGTTTGATACCCTTGTCCCCTCTCCCTCGGGGCTCAGGGGGCACAGCAGAGCCGGGAAGCAGGGGAGCACCTGCCTGCTGACAGTGTTGACAGGCACTGATAAAAAGCCTCCCTTCCTGCCTTAACCACCTGGCGTTGGGGGTGTACGTGTGGTTCATTTTATAATCCATCTTCCATCTTTATGCTTTTTCGAGGAAGTGCCCGTGGGAGAAGGGGGATCGAAGAGCTCTCTTGGAACAGGTGTGATCCTCTGTCGGCCTCAGTCACAGCCCGAGCCTGGGTGGGACTCCGACTCCCCTGCCCTGCCCCAGACCACAGAGGCCAGTGGGCTCGCAGCTTCACTTGTTCATTGATCTGTACTTCAGTGTGTTCCAGTTCATTCACCCCTCGGGCCCGAGGGGCTCAAAAGGACGCTGCAGTTAATGCGGTTGGGACTTAACCACCTTTTTCCCTTTTCTTCTTACAGCTGAAACTTTGGAACAAATACCGCATCTCCAACATTCCATCACTAATATTCCTAGACGCCACCACCGGAAAGGTCGTGTGCAGGAATGGGCTGCTGGTGATCCGCGATGACCCAGAAGGTAGGACCTGTAGGACCTTGGCATGTCCGTCCCGTACTCCCTGCTCCATCCTCCTACGGCTGACTTCATCCCCATTGGCAGAGAACATACAAATGAAATAGATATGAGTGGGTTTACTTGGCGAGAGGATATTGTCATGATGAAATTATAGTATTCTCCAGGTCATGGTTAAGATTTTTAAAGAGATCAGAATGTCCCGCCTGGGGGCTTTAATTCACGGGCCAAAGGAGACAGAATCGGAGAAAGGAAGTTCGGTTTTGAGGGCTGAGGAGGCCGTCGAGAAGCAATGAGAGCCCGGAACCAGACTTGGGTGCTGTGTCCATAGCAGCTGCCACCTCACCAATTAGAGGCAGGCTCAGCGGTTGTGAGGTTTTTGTCTCTTTAAAATCTTACCATCGTGAAGACACAGCCTCTGTGTTGCTCTCCTGGCCCCGGGGGGTGACTGACCTCATTTCTTGATGCTGCGCAAGTGCCTCGGCCTTGGCCTTGCTGACTGGCCGGGTGGGTGGCCGTCCACTGGGCTGCTGTTATCACTGTCCCGCTCGCTGGCTGCCCGAGCTCTGGTTCTCTCCCCGCCGCACTGCCGTCCTAAAGTGTCGTGAGGCCTTCCCTTCCTCACTTACTGATAGGGGATTCACCCTGGTCACAGATTTTCCCAGGAAAAATTTCACCTGCTTCAAAGAATTGCCCTCAGTAAAAACCAAGGCGTGGTAGAATCCAGTCTTTACCTTCTCAAATCACACACACACACACACTCTCTCTCTCTCTCTCTCTCTCTCTCTCTCTCTCTCTCTACTCTGAGCTTGTTAAAAATGCAGATTTCCCAGCCCGACCTCCAGAGATATTGGGGTCTCTTTGATTCAGGGTGGGCTTCGCCACTTGCATTTTTAACCAGTCTGTGCTTCTCCCACCCCCCACCCACCCCAGGGGATTTTTGAGGCCGTGGTCCATGGACCACCCTGTGAGAAAACACTGTTGTGTTGCTCTTCCTGCCTGGGGCTTAAGTGTCATCAGAATGTAGAACATCTGGGTTGAGTGAGTTTTTACTCTTTCCTTTAACTGGATTTAATTCTCACTTGGTTTCCTGGGCCCCAACCCAGACCAACTGCATCAGAATCCCTGGGGGTGGGCCCCAGGAGCATCCTATTTTAAAACTCCCCTGCTGATTCTAAAATGCCATCAGAGTTGGGAGCCACTGAGCTTCCAGGGTTGGACTTGAAGAAACTCATGGTTCCTCCATGAGGATTTCCCAGCCTGGCGCAGCATCAGACTTACCTGGGGGGAGTCTGTTTTGCTTTGTTTTGGACATACATCTTCAGCCTTGGCCCCAGATCCCAAGACTCAGAGTGTGACCAGGGCTTCTGTAACTTTCCAAAAGCCCCCCAGGAGATGGGCCCTGTGATCACCCAGGTTCGGGAACCATCATCTTGGAGGTAGGTGGGGCTCTGCCATGAATGGGTTCTGCCTTTGTTCCTGGGCTTTAGCTCCAGATCCTCTGCGTGTGTTAACAAATACTATTTGATGATAACGCTGCCGGGCCCTGCCTCTCTGAGGCCTCTTGGGTCAGAGACCATAAGGAAGAGTCTTAACAATGTTCTCACCCTCTGTTGCCTGTTTCAGGTTTGGAATTCCCTTGGGGACCTAAACCCTTCAGGGAAGTCATTGCAGGGCCCTTGCTGAGAAATAATGGACAGTCCCTGGAGAGCAGCAGCTTGGAGGGGTCTCACGTGGGAGTCTATTTCTCCGCACACTGGGTGAGTGTTCAGTCCAGATGGAAGGAAGCAGTGATGTTGCGACCAAGACCAGTCGTGCTTGGCTCTTGGAGGTGTTAACTGCTCGGGCATGACTCTCCGTGTTCTTACTTCCTCCTGCACCTGATGCATTGTTGGTATGCCATGAGTGCTTATTATTATGAATGATGATGGCAGCAAGAAAATTACTTCTTTTGACTGGTCTGAAAGGAGAGTCCTCCTAACCCATTCTGATGAGGCTTCCAGTAGTCTCTAAGGGGGTTTGTTTTCACTGCCACCCGCTGGCATGCCATGTGGGTGGGGGGCACCCCGTGTTGGACATTCAAAAGAGGCGTGTTTGTTTCTGCCTCTGTATTAAGCCGGGTTTCACTCTCCCAGTCCTACTTGGGTCTCGCTTACCCGGTCTCTTTTGGCAAGTGGCTGGGAAATGGGAAGGCCAGGTCCAGCGTCAGGCTGCAGGATCCCCCTCTCCTCTTGCAGTGCCCACCCTGCCGAAGCCTCACCCGGGTCCTGGTGGAATCCTACCGGAAGATCAAGGAGGCAGGCCAGAAATTTGAGATCATCTTTGTTAGTGCGGACAGGTAACGTGAGCTGGGGAAAGTGGCCGCGCCGTTCCGTTCCCTTTTCCAGAGGTTAACACGCATTTCTCTTACCTTACACATCTCACCCCTTAAGGGTAGAGCGTGGAGATGGGGGTTGGGCAAGGCTTATCTGGGATGATTGGCAAACGGACAGATACATTTCAGATTTCCTCCTGCGACTGTCTGAAGGGGAGCTGAGAAAAACCTGTTCTTGCTGTAAATAATTGCAGCATGTCCCCTTCCAGCCTGGGTCATTAGAGATTAGGATGCGATTTTCTGATTTGTTCAGCGTTGTGGATCATGATGAAAGGGCTTGGAGGGGAAGGATGGAAAGAAAAGAGCCAGAGGCTGATGGAATGTGACACCTGTCTGGGACGGCTGTGCCATAATTTCCCTTCGCTCTGGCCGCGTCCTTTGCCTGGGGGCTGTCCTAAAAACAAGAAGGGCAAAGTCTCCTCCTGGAGTACCTCAGGTCTTTTTACTGCAGCTTCCTCTGCTGCGGTCCCTCTTGCTGGTTTTACTCATCAGCGACCCTCCTTCATCACAATTACGTACAATTCAACGACTGTTGACCAACGTATGTACCCCTGTAATCAGCACCGTTAAGTATAGAACATTTCTATCATCACAAGGTGCCTTCTCAGTCATCACCCTCAAACCCCAGCCCCAGGGAGCCCCTGATCTGCTTCTTATCACTGTGGTTAGATCTGTCATTCCTAGAGTGTTTAAATACATGGAGCCATAGGCTTCTGCTTGGTTAAGAGTGTGCCCCTGTGCACAGCACTGTTACCCGCACAGACCAGCAGTATCATGGAGAACAGTGTCCGAGTACATCTAGGCTGCTTGCAAAAGTACCACCTGTCTCTGTTGAAAAATGAGAAGTTGGGCCCGAGTTAAACTGGTAGGACCCAGAGGAGCAGGCTAGTTGGAATGGCCTTGGCGATCTAGTTCACATCCGCCTGTCGTGGGGAGGCTGTTGCTTCTTGGTGTACACCAGAGGGGGTAGAATAGTTCCCTTCCATAGCCTGGGGGTCTGCGGAGCACGATGATTCGGGGTGCTGGCCATAGCTTGGTAGAAGGCGGGGAGGACCCAGCGGTGGTGCTTTCGGGGATAACAGAGCGTTGCTTCCACGTGTGTCTCTGTAGGTCCGAGGACTCATTCAAACAGTACTTCAGTGAGATGCCCTGGCTTGCCGTCCCGTATACCGATGAGGCCCGGCGGTCACGCCTTAACCGGCTGTACGGAATCCAAGGTAGGCCTTCCTGACTCCATGGGGCTCCCCGGAGACCTGCCCGTCTGGGCTCACCACATCTTTGGCTTTTCTTTTAGAGGGAAAAGGACGTCTTTATTTCCATAAATGTTCATGTTCCTTACTATCTTAAAAATGACGTGTGGTGAATTCTGTGGTATGTAAATTATATCTCATTAAAGCCATTAAAAAAAAAAAAAAGTACTCATCCAGGTGAAACAGCCACTTCTCACCACCTGACCTCATGTGCTCTGATGCAGTTGGGCCCTGGAGCGAGCACATGCTCCCAAATGACTTGGTCAAAACCCTATCCGGAGGGTTCACCTGTCACACAGAGCTAGGAATGGTCTTTGGTTCCATCGGTCAGATTGTGAGCCTCAGTTTACTCATCCGCAAATGGGCATGATAAATCCCTGCCACAAAGAGTCTCTGGGAGCATTCATAGGATAAGGTCTATAAAGCATTTCCTGGTTCTTGAAGCACAATAGTGAGGGCTGAGTGGCTAGGACTTGTAGGTGAGAAAACTCATTTCCTGAGAGTGTTGAAAACTTGGACTTAAAGTACTAATCATGGTGTTTTCTGGAAATAATGATTATTAAGTGAGACAAACTGTGTGTTTTTTTATTTTACCATTTTTTTTTAAATTTTATTTTATGTTATGTTAGTCACCATTCATTACACAGTGAGTTTTTGATGTAGTGTTCCATGATTAATTGTTTGCAAATAATACCCAGTGCTCCATGTAGTACGTGCCCTCCTTAATACCCATCACTGGGCTAACCCATCCCCCCCCCAAAACCCTCAGTTTGTTTCTCAGAGTCCATAGTCTCTCATGGTTCATCTCCCCCTCTGATTTGCCCCCCTTCATTTTTCCCTTCCTACTTTTTTTTTTT